GCAGGAGGCTATCAGGTTCAAGGCCAGGCTGGGCAACTCAGTAAGATCTTTTCTCAAAATAAAACTTAAATGGTGCTAAGATATAGCTTGGCTATGGGTTCAATGCCCAGTATGGGGGGAGGGGTGAAAAAAAGTTGGTTAGTACATAATTCATTATATTATCCACTGTCTTCCAATCAGATTATAAGGGATAACATACCCTAAAGTTTCTCCTAAGTGAGTTTTGTAAACAGAAAATCAGTTATTAGCTGAAAATGTAATACTGACCACTCTAGATTATTTTTAGTGATAAAATATATAGTTTAAATATCTTGTCAGTTAAGGAATTCTAAAAAATTAAGGGGAGTTTTATATACTTTCCTTAATAATCACACAGCATTTTGCAATATTTTGTTTGCTTTATGTAAGGTAGTAACTATTATCTACATAAAGAATTCAACATGTCGGATTTCTATAAAGCTTGTAAGCACAGAATGATTTACCTAATAGTTTCAATGTGACAATAAAAATTCCTATCCCAGACTTGATGGACACTCAATATTACTAGTTTACTAAAAGTTCAATATAACATATGTAACTCTTAACTAAACTTATATGATCTTTACTGATAATCCACACAGTACTTCTTTTTCTTTTTTTTTTTTTTTCCCGGTACTGGGAATCAATGGGAATCAAAGTTGAACTCATACTTTGCCAGGTAGGTGCTGTGTTGCTGACCTGTATCTCCAGCCCTACATAGTATTTCTTAAGAAAAGTAAGTTAACTACACTTGGTTCTAAGATATTTCTAAAAAATAGGAGGAAAGATCATTTCTTTTGGATGGCAAACTAAATACTTGTATAAATAATGGAGACACACACAGGTTTTTATCTTTGTAAAATGTTGGCTACAAATACTGCTTCCTTGGCCAGGAATATAGCTCAATGGCAAAGTGCATGCCTGCCAAGTGCAAGGTCCCAAGTTTGATTCCTGTTACAAAAAATAAATAAAAACAAATAAAAATTAAAATTAAATGAGAACTTCCTATACCTTTGTTTACATATGTATTTCACAGTAGAAAATAATTATACAAAGAACCTTGACTTCTTAAATAAAAAACATAACAGCAAAAAGTTTCTCTTACTGAAATGACTCAGTATCACAGAAAAGGCCAAGATTTTTATTTAAAATGCAAATTTAAGGAGTGTAAGACTTAGAATTGACCTAAGATACTGCACAGCAAAGAAATTTTACTAAAAACTACATATCTATATATGGAAAGAATGCAGCTGCAAGATCACTCCTTTCAAACTATTTGTACGCATGTGCCCAGATCCTGTGTTCTATCCCAAGGGTAAAAGTGTCCCCAACATCACAAAATGCTGCACCCTTCATCAAAGTGCATAGTTACACAAGGCAAATATTCATTGCCCAAAATGCTTGGGACAAGAAATGTCTAGCATATTGGGCCTCTTTAGATTTTCTTATATTTTAATATACATATACATAATAAGATATTTAGGGATGGAACAAAGTCCAAGCATGAAATTCATTTATGTTTCCTATGCACCTTATACACATGGCCTAAAGGTAACTTTATATAGTATTTTTAGTGTGCCTGCATTTTCACTGCAACCTAAGATATTACATGTAGAGAATTTTTCATTTGTTGCATAATGTTTGTGTTCATAATGTTTAGAATTTGGGAGGATTTTAAACTTTCAGATTAGGATACTTTCTTCCTTTCTTTTTTCACAGCATCTATTATACATTTTGTTCCTTATTTACACTTACAGTTTCTCACATCAGAGAAACAATCTGGTATTTACATATGTGTGTCAAATTTATTTCACTTAAAGAATATGGTCTCAAAGTACATCAATTTATCTAGAAATATCTCAAATTTATCCTTCTTTGTGGCTGAGTAGCACTCTACTGTAGGGAAAAAATATCTTTAGTCATTCACTTATTGATGGGCATTTGGTCTGTTTCCAAGATTTAGCTATTGTGAACTCTGCTACTATAGTCATGGGTGAGCATATATTGCTGTGGTATGATGTTTTTAATTCCTTTGGGAAGATACCAAGAGGGAGAATGGCTGGGTCAAATGGAAACTACTGTTTTAGTTTTTTCAGTAATCTCTACACTGGTTTCCATAGTGGTTGCACTAGGCTATACTCCCACCAACAGTGAAAGATTTTTTTTTCCTTCATAGCCCCACCTGCATTTGTTATTGACTTTCTGATGGTCATTTTTTCTGGAGTAAGGTGGACTCTCAGTGTTATTTAATTTGCCAGTGATGTTAAACAGTTCTTCATGTATTTCATATACTTTTTGTTGTTTCTACTTCTCCATCTGAGAAGTATCTATTCATTTCAGATGCCCATTTTTCAACTGGCTGCATGAATTGGGGAGGTGGTCTGATTTTTTTGAGACTCTTATGTTTTAAAAAATGTTCAAATGAGAATGAGCACTCAGGAGAATGGAGGGGGAAAGAAAGGACAGGAAAAGCAAGCAGGAAAAGGAAAAAATGGCAACAAAACTTGTAAATAAGGAGGGGAGTAGAGGCTTAAAGAATGGTAAAGGAACAGGAAAAAAAAAAAAAAAGAACCAAGATGTATCATGTAAAGGTACAAATTCCCTATGATGAATGTGATTCTTACATATACCTAAAATATAACAATAAGCTTAATGACAATAATGATAATCAACAAACATATTTCATTAAATTAAAAGACATACTTGTTAATAGTTATCTATAATAAATTTCTCAAAAAAACTTTTTGTTTTCATTGGTACCAGGGATCAAACTCATGACCACGTGCTTGCAAGGCAAGTGGTTATGCCACTGAGCAAAATTCCCAGCCCCTATTTCTCAAAAATTGAACATGGAAATCTTACAATTACACATGCCAGTATATACAATGTGCATTCACAACTGCTGTACTATAAATTAGCTGTATTACAATTTTTATACCATTTTAATGTTTTCCTTAAGGAATTATTATTTATAATACGATAACATCTGCTCTGTTAAACCAACATTATTCTATCCATTATTATAATCAAAGACCCCCCTTAGGGGAGGCAGAAGCTGCCCAATGCCCACGAACATTTTTTAAAACATGAGAACTCAAAAAAATCAGACCACTTCTCCAATTCAAGCAGCCATGCACAAACTATTAGTAGTTCAAGTAAGCAGGAGCAACTGAATTCAAATCAGAGGTGTCGGGCAACAAGACATGAATTATAGCCCCTTTATGAATGCATTCATCTGCCAAGACTTTAGAGGAAACTGAGTGAAAGGCATATAGAATCTTTGTTATGATCTAGTATTAATTTATTCAATTGTATATAAATATACAATTACCATACTTTAGAATGAAAGATTGAATCAAAAACATACATCAATATGTAAACATACAAGTCTCTGACCTGCACAGGTTGGGAAAGCAGTTAAAACTATTCCCCGCACACAGACTTCCTTCTTTAACTCACTGTATAATTATCTCACATTGGAAAATGTTCACTTTGTTCACTTTAAGTCTCCCTAAGATTCTACAATCTTTCTTGAATTACTTTTACCCTAAATTAAATTAGTGAAAAAAACATTAATACATAAACTCTTCTTATGCTTTAAACCCAATTTCTGAAGGAACATCAAAGGCATCATCGAAGACCTATTAGAAACGCAAAATCTCAGGCTCTTCCTCATACTCAGTGAATAAGAATCCATGCTGTAATAACATTCTTACATAATTCCTACACACAATAAAGCTTAAGAGACACTGGTAGACGGCAGAAACTTAACATTTAAAAAAAAAAAGAAAACTTCACAGCTTTAGACTGATAAATCTTTTCAATTACTTCTTAGTTTGGTTTACTTAAAACAAAAACAGTATACCTGTTATCTTACTCATGTTTTACCATCAAGTTATCCAAACTACTTAATATACAAATGTTTAACCAATACTTTGGATATTGAGAAAATACTTTTTAAAAAACTGAACACAACTGGAATACAGCCCAGCAGCACAAGCCACCTTCTTGGCAAGCACAAGGTCCTGAGTTCAACTCCCAGTATCAAAAAAGAAAAAAAAAAAAAAACTGACAACTGTGCTTCAATTGTAAAAAACAACTGAATAAATATAGTTAATTGAGTTATCCAAGCCCATCTAGTTTAGTTAGTTCAGTGGTACACTAATCTTATTTGATTCCTGTGTCTTTCTCCTAGTCAAGTATTTTTGTAGCACACTGCAACCTTGCTGCATGTTTAACGCCATATATGTATGTCTGACTCTTAAATCAGCTCTGCTTACATATAGGTATATGAACATGGGCAGAATATAAAACCTAACCAAAAATTAGAAAAGTATAGTTTCTTTAGTATATCATTTTATAAGGCATAAGTCTGAAGTGTTCCTACCAGAAATGAACATCAATACAGTGCTAATTGCAAACAAGAATGCAAAGAATCAAAATTCACTTTACTCTGGTTACAAAAACATTACTAAGGGCCAGGGATATAACTTAGAGGCATAAGAGCCTGCCTGGCAAGTGCAAAGAAAAAAAAAGAAATATTACTAAATGTATAAAATACAACTATTTTCAAATTTATTTCCCCTGCTTACCCTGAAAAATGGAGCTGTAGGTCTATATAATATGATGTAATACATTAATGAACAAGACCAAATGAAACAGAAGAAAAATAGCCGATAACATTTTACACACACCTCATTTAAATAGTTACTTTCTAAACACGCAGTTTAAAGTGACTGAGAATTTCCTTACAGGTTATACAAAGCATCAGATTCATAATTCCAAATTTAACAAAAACATCTATTGAACTCTACTAATTTTGGAATTATCAAAAGATATTTTCTTTTTAATTATTAATTAGAAAATAAAGTAACTGGAATCATCTCTTTAACAGTCCAACAAAAACAACGTAACTTCAGATATTTAAAGAGCATGGAGATATACAACTTATTTAGCCTATATATTAGATGGTACATACTTACTTTCTGAATGAATTTCTCAACACTCTGTACCACATGTTTATAAAACTGAAAGAGAAGAAAAAGTACAGTTTTTAAACCATAGCTTGAGTAGATAAGAATTTCCTACCAACTATAGGTTTAAACATAGCTCCAAAGGTCCATCAACACAATTAAATGTAATCAAATTTTTCATAATAAACATTCATAGTACTCACTTTCATAAGTAACTAGCAGAGATATCTAATTACATAAGTAGTTCTCTTGTGTAGCTATATGGTCAGTATATCCAAAATGCATTACTTTAACATAAATATTTATAAAAGACTTCTCAAAGTCTACATGAAAGCATACTTTGACAAACTGCTGTATTGACAGCAAAATACTTGTGATATGCATACATATCACAAGGGTAGTACTAGAAAACTCAAGTAACTATCAACAAATAGCATAAAAAATGTTTTTAACTTCACTACCTTCTGCTTCTTTTGGGAAATGAACTGCAGATATATGTAAAATGTAAACTTGAGAAGACACGTCCTAGAGTGGTTCACCACCCAGTAGTATAAAGGGGAAACGATAAATGATGGACTCAGCTTCTGTTCTTTGGGGAAACACCAGCTTTTGCCTTCAGCTTGGTCTTATCTCCTGGATTCTAGTGCAGACTCTTCAGTTTCCACCTCAGATCCTTCAGCTTTCCAGAGTACTCTATAGCCTTCTATCACAGACCCATCAGCCTCCTGATGCAGACTTGGATCTGGACAATGAACTCCAGATCTTGGCCTGGAACCTTTGGTCTCCAGTGTACAGATACCCTCTCCATTCTTCTTCCTCCAGCTCTATGGCTGACCATAGTAAGCCAACCTTGTAATTCCTTATACATTTGTCTATCTTGTATTATATCTATTTCTTTAGTAAAGCACTGATACAATGCTGTAATGAATCTCACAAAGTTTAGCGGAAGTGAGCACATGGATTAAAAATAGATAATGATCTGCTATCAATCGTGAGAAAAAATGATTTAACTTTCTTATAATATAATACTTTAAACATAAACTTCAAAACAAATAGCTTTCCAGAATTTCTATTTAATAAACATTAGTTCCTCAATGGTAATGTTGTGGTTAGCACATTTCTGTTGAAAGAATGTGAAAAATGTACTTCTAATGAATTGTACTGAGGGAAACTGCCTTAGAAGAAACACAGAAATAAAAGATAACAGGAACACAGAAGACAGATCTTTTGCAAACTGGATGGAAACTAACAGATGCAGGGAAAAGTGGGAGAAAAAGGAGAAGTAAAAAGAATTAAGTTGTGTTATATACATTACCAACTTCCCATAATGAATGTGATCATTATCAACTCTATAAACATGTTATTAATAAAATTAAAATATTAGAGTCTGTAAAACGTTATGATTGAACTGTATCATACATTAGATAATAGTATTTCATCAATTTATAATTTCTTGTATGTCATCAGTATACTATGGTTTCTTTGAAAAACATTCTTAAGAGATTTAAATTTGAGCATTTATGGATTAAGTAGTAGTATAAACCAGTCTGAAGCCCTCAATCAGACAGAAAAGTAAAAAGACTGTATATATCTATGAATGTGTAAAATAAAAGAAAGGGTAGCTAAAAAATTCATAGTTGGTGAATCTAAGGGAATAACTGATCTTATTTTACAACTGAATTTCTAAAAAATTAAAGAGTAGGGGCTGGGGGTTTAACTCAGCGGCATAAGCGCCTGCCTTGAAAGTAGGCAGTCCTGAGTTCAATCCCCGGTACCGTTAAAAAGGAAAAAGACCAAAAAAGAAAGAAAGAAGAAAGAAAGAGAGAGAGAGAGAGAGAGAGAGAGAGAGAGAGAGAGAGAGAGAGAGAGAGTAATAAATCAAAATAGTACAGCTTATCATAAAAATTAAATTACTCTTGACTGATAGAAACTTAAATTCATACGCTTAACAAATTATTTAATTTCTTAGACCCTTCTGACATCTGCAAACAGCATTCAGCCTTTTAATTAAAATAGTGTTCAATAGTTACGTAAAATGCTTTACTAATTTTCACAGCATAAAAATGGTAATACATGTTCATACATTCTCACAACCATGAAAGATCAGATTACAATGGAAAACAGTATGAAATACAAGAGGCTAAACTTACTCTATATTGAGCCTATCATATATCCATAAAAAACTGATGTTTTAATATTCATAGATTAATACCTATTTAATCTATTTAATAACATATTCGTTTCTATTTTTAAAAGTCTTACTAAAGCAAGAAGTGCTAACTCTAGGAATAAGAACTTTAGAAAGGTATGCATGCTTCAGCCTCAAAGATCATTCAGCCAAAAATTTTATGTACAATTTTGTGCATATGTGAACTTAGAATATCCAACTTTTCCTGATATTTTTCAGATCTATGGATCAGTCAACACAGGTTCAAAGCCTACCAGAGCCAATAGTTATGTGGTCTCCTCACACAATTATAAGCACTTTGTATACAATGAGGCCCAATTACTTTCCATAACGGCCCATTTTCAAACCTATATAGAATTAGTAAATTTAAAAATATATTAATTTTTACTTCAAAGCCTTTTATTAACTTGTATTTAAAATTCTGTAAAATCAGTGTGAAAAATGACAGTGTTAAATACATTTTCCATGATGAGGATGCATATAACCAACATATAACCTGCCTAAGAGAAGGTTAAGAAAAATGTGTACTTCCAAGTTTATGAAAGAATATTTATCAAAATGTTAGGTATTTATGTGATTTGCAGGTGGTAGGTTTTTTTCTTTCCCCCAAACATGTATTAATACTGTAAAGCAGGAGTAATTACATAAACTATAAAAATTATTCCCCCTATCAGGTATGGTAGTGCTCACCTGTAATCTCAGCACTTGGGAGGCTGAGGCAGGAGGATCACTGTGAGGTCAAGACCAGCCTGGGCTGCAAAGTGAGCTCAAGACCAGCCTGAACTGCACAGCAAGACCCTATTTTAAAAAGACAAAAAAAAAGAAAACAAAAAGAAAATAGGATTAAAATTTATTACTCACCTTAATAGCTTTGATGGCTGCCTTTGTAATCTGGGTCATTTTTGCTTTAGAAATGGGTGGCTTATAGTCATTCAGGGAATACAACTGATGAAAAAAAAGAACAAAATTTAAATACAGCGAGACTTAATTGTCAGTAAGCAAGTACAGGAAATTATCAACATTTCCAATGTTTATGTTTCCAATGAAGTCAAAGGGCTGCTTTTTTTTTAAAAAGCTCAACAGCAGGGAGATGCATCAAAATTACACTCATTTCACAATCATTATCATTGACAAGCTAATAACAAGTGCTAGGTATGTGGAAAACTGGGAACTGTTGTACACTGCTGGTAGGAATATAAAAATCTTCAACAATGTTTTTTGGAAGGTACGCAGCTTCTTTAAAAAAAATCACATTAAACAGTTATCATATGACTTAGCCAATGCCCATCATAGGTATATAATTGAAAAAACTGAAAGCAAATATTTACATTAAAAACTTGTACATGAATGGTCACCGCAGTATTATTCATTTGAATTCATTTAAATTTCATTAAAAAGCAGAAACAACCCAAATGTCTATCCACTGATGAAAGGATAAACAAAATGCACCACATCTTTTAACTGTAAAAAGGATGGGATACTGATACATACTACAACTGGAATGAACTTTGGAAACATTGTGCTACTAAGAAAAATGAGGAATGGCTGGCTACTAATGGTGTTTCTTTTTTTAAAAAAATGAGAGAGACAGAAAGGGAGAGGGAGAGGGAAAGGGACACGGTCAGGGAGAGGCAGAGGGAAAGGGAGAAGGTACAGGGATATAGCTCAAGGGAACAGTACCTGCCTGGCACGCACAAGGTCCTGAGTTCAATTCCCAATACAAAAAAAATTTAAAAAAGAGAGAAGAAAAACGATACAAAACGTCAAAACACAGAAAAATTTAAAAAAAAAGAAAAACGATACAAAACGTCAAAACAATAGGAGCGTAACAATGGTTGATACATTGTATATTATTATTTTCAAAGTAGTTGCTCAAATTACAAACTCTAAGCATGAAACATGGATCAATATAAGCACAAATCTTTACAATGAACAGAAATTAGTTCTTTTCTCTTTTCCCTCATCCCAATTTCTCCATCCTTTTGAACAGTTTCTTCCCATTTCACAGTATCTACTGTATGATCTAGATCTGCTTCTTTTTTAGATGAAGAAACTGTTCTAAAATTAATTATGGTGGCTGCACAACTTTGTAAACATACTAAAAACAGCTGCATCATACATATACTTCCAACTGGCTGCTTTAGTGGTATATGAATTATACCTCAATAAAACTTTTTAAATTTAAGGGTGGTGTGCCGTGTGCCTTGTAATCCTAGCATTCTGGAGGCTGAGACAAGGAGGACAGCCTGGGCTTCACAATGAGTTCAAAGTGAAGCTCCAACTACTTAGTGAGACTCTCTCAAAAGACAATAAATAAATAAATAAAATTAAGGATCTCATGTTTTAACAACACCTCCTCTAAGAAATATTTCTTTTGAAATTTCCCATCCAAGTAAAGGATAAGAGTAGCGCTTAGAGAGAAAACAGTTAAAGAGGGTGGAGAAATGCAATCAAATAAGTTTAAGTGAATACTGATTAAAACTTAGGTTTATTCTTGTAAGTGTATCAGATAATTAGAAGTCTGGAAAATAAATCTGATCACTAGAATTACAAAAACTATCTGAACAGATCTTGCTATCCATACTTATTATCCTTCATATCTATAGAATCTACTTGATTTTTGCTGTATGTATCTCTTGTTCCTGCCCTTAATCAACACCTCACTGATTACAGTTCAAACTACTTTCACTTGTCACCTAAATGAATGTGGCATTCTGTCTTCACCTGATTTATGGCTAGCTTTCCAAAAACTAAATGGATCAGGTCAATGACATTCAAAACCACTCCCATGACCTCTTAAAATAGTCAATGATTTTTTCTTTTTTTGAGACAGGGTCTCACTGTGTAGCTCAGATTGGCCTTGAATTCACAGTGATCCTCCTGCCTCAGCCTACCAAGATAAACACAAACTTCACTATATAAGGCACTCCCTGGTCCTACTCCTATGTTCCCCCATCATACTCATAGCTCTTTCCCTGCTCCTGATGCAATTATCTTTTTTCAGTTACCCACCACAGGCCCTTAAAATACGGCTTGTTCCCTCTATTTAGAATACTTTCCATGGTATCCCTATTAGTTAATGTGTACTTGTCCTTAAAGCATCACCTAATGAAGACTGCTTTGTTATGAAGCAGAAAGGCAAAGGATCTATGTTCCTTTAATTTAATTTTAATTGTATACTAAATGTTGTGGAAGTTGCAGTCAATGGTAGCAAGACATACAAATATACTTCCTTATTAATTTCCTAGAGAGATCCACATGTTCATGATTTTGCTTTACTACTTGGTTCTAATGCACACCTTGAAAGAACTTTCAAACTAAAATAATTAAGATCTTTAACTCTTTAATGTAAGATATCTGTTAAACTCACATAATTTTAACAGACTAGTGGTCTATCTTTAACTCTTCAATGTAAGACATCTGTTAAACTCACATAATTTTAACAGACTAGTGGTCTATTCCTGTTTTTAAAATTTTACCTGTATGCCAGTCTACTTGGGTACAAAAAATAACAACACTGGCTGGGCGAGGGGTGCATGCCTGTAATCGTCGCATTTGGGAGGCGAAGGTGGAGGACCACTGCAAGTTCAAGGGCAGTCTGGGCTACAAAGTGAGTTCAAAGCCAGCCTGAACTGCATAGTGAAACTCTGTCTCAAAACAAAAACAAAAACAACCCACATTCTATGGCTTCCCAGAATTTCTTAGATGACCACTCTAGCCCTCTTCTACAGAAAATAAGCTCTAAGAATAAAAATCCTGTGGGTTTTTTTTCTTTGAAGTATATCTATTCTCAGTGCCTGGAACAGATTATTTAAGAAAGAATTAAAATAAATATGTACAATACACAGCAATGCATAGCTTTTCACTTTCAATTCTGTCTATGATACTAAAAGCCACTACATCACTAAGCTTTGGTTTTCTATTCAAAAGACAGAATATTCATTTAATAGTGTTTCACAGTATACAAAGCTTTTGGAGCACAAGAAAGTCAGTCAACAAGAGTTAGCCATCATTAAAGATCTTTTCCTTTGGTAAACATTCTTCATTCAAATAAATAGTACCAAAATCTCCAGCAAAACATCATTCACTCAGTCACTTGAAAGAAAATTCTATTTATTTATTTATATACTTCGGCCATGAAGAAGCAACAGGTTGTTTTATTTCTTTCGTTCTGTGAGGTAAAGGCCTGAATTTCAATTAAGCACTAGTTCATATTTTCAAATACCAAAGCATTGCCCATGTTTTTAAGGAGTGAAATGGGAGAATTATGAATTCAAGAACATTTTCAGCAGCCTCAAAAGTCAGCTCTCATTGAAGGCTCACCTTTAAAAAAATGTAACTGTTGTAAAAATGTCAGGTACTACTCAGAATAATACTAATACCATTCATTTCAAAGACTCACATAATACATATGCTTCCAACTAACCATTTCTCAAGATCTTCTAAAATCCCATTTGTTTAATTCAATCTGATCATCAGGAAACTGACACAGGTAATTTAATTTACTCCTTTATTGACTGCTTTTACTAAAATTTAATATAAAGACTTGACAAAAATTTCCTAGAACATTGTAATTAACTATCTGCTAAAAAATTATCCCCTAAATATTTTATCCAATAATTCACAAAATATATTCTTCCTGAATTTAGAAAAGAACAATAATTCTGCTAGCTCTAGCCCGCTTAATACCAAAAATGGATGATTTAACATGCTTCCCCTTTCTTGCCTTGTGTTCCACAGATCTTGTTGATATTTAATCATCTGAACATGCATCTCAAACATCTGACAATTTGTCTGCTGTATTTAACTAGTCTTACGGTACACAAAAATAATTTCTCTATTGTGTTTAATTTTGCTAAGGTAATTCAAAATTCTTTTTGATTAACTTGTAATATAAATGTGCGTACCGTTTATTGAACCGCATGAACCTACCACAATTGCTGAGACAGCTTTTCTTCATCATTTTCCCTTCTCATCTTTTTTGTGTTCTACCTAGTCTACTGATGCTTAAACCTCAGCATCAAACTCAATCCTGCAGGACTTCCATCAAAGACTATTTGTTAAGAAGTTTATACCTGGGGATATAGCTCAGCAGCAAATCACCTGCCTGGCCAAGTGCAAAGTTGTGAGTTTGATCCCCAGTATCACAAAAAATGAAAAAACAAAAAGAATTTTATCAATGTCATTGTAATATTCAACCTTTTAACAAAAGAATATAGTGATGGAACACTGCCAGCCAATTAGATTCTTAATAGACTTCTAGGTAGTATTCAAACAACCTTACACGTACAAGATATAACTATATCTAATATACAGGTATAAAGCAAGCATTTAATAATTAAATTTTCACTATCCAATTACTATAATACTGCTTGTTATTAGAACTACCAGCTTCATTCAGACTTCCATTCTAATATCAAATAATGTCAACCAGCCAAAAATAAGTGAGAATGTAATTCTTTCTATAGTCTTAAAATCTGAATTGGGACAGAAAACATGCCATGGTTTTACAGTGGAAAATGCTGAAGAACATCTGGAACCTCATTTTTCCTCTTCCTGCCTCTACAGTTGGGTCAGAAGACCTCAGCTACCCAGTTTCTCCTGCTTCTTGGGTTCTGGCTCCTTGGTTGTGTGTTTTTCAGTCTTACATGTCCACTGATTCCAGTTAGTCTGCTCCACTAACTTCCTTCTCACAAAGGACTACTGTAACTTCTCTTTGGGGTTGGGCCTAGGTTGAACAACACGGGCAAATGGAATTCTGAGTATGAGACCTGCTATGAAATAGCCTTCCTCCAGAAAACAGTGATTTGAAATCAGCCAGTGTGCGTACTATTGTCTTGGTCTATAGCAAGACCAAGATGATGAGACAGGCTACAAGGATCTGGCTGGACAGTTCCTAAATGAAAACAGTGGTTGGCAGTGCCTGGACTTGAGGTCACAGTCAA